GCGCTCTGATTGCGAAAAATAGACAATTTGGGAAGTGGAGATACGATTATTCCCAAATTGAATATTTTTGTGTGCAATCTGAAAATTGTTGAACCAATCTAGAAAAGCCTAGAAAATCAAAGTGCAATAATTTCTCCCTAATTCGCGCTCAGAATGCGCACAAAAATGAACAATTTAGGAAGCAGAGATACGATTATTCCCAAATTGTCCATTTTTGTGCGCAGTCTGAGCGCGAATTAGGGAGAAACTACTGCACTTTGATTTTCTAGGCTTTTCTAGATTGGTTCACCAATTTTCAGATTGCGCACAAAAATTAGTTTCATTGGTTCACCAAGCATCGCATAGAATTCATCGATTTCATGAATCCGCTCGTTTCTATCATCGACGATCGCGAATTCGCGAGCCCGCGGCCAGTTCAGTCGCACAGGAGCGTTCAACCGCGGTAATCGCCGTCGGATCTTCGTTATGGCAGTCGGCGTCAGGTAGGATCGCAATTATATCGGTCGGAGAGAAGGAGCGAACGAACGACACGGCACAACACGCCGGCGGTTTTATCGATCTTACATCTGTTCCCGGTGTCGAGTTGCAAAGCCCGGCCGCGCCCGGCATTCAGCCGACAGATAAGTCATTTAGATACGAAGAAATTGCACTTGCTCGAGCAGCGCGCGTCCCTGCGCTGCGCCGCGATGCGCTAACTGCGTCGGCCGGGCCTCGATCGCCTTTCGTCGATTCCCGATAGGAATGTAGGTCGAACGACCGGGGTTTGATGTCCTCCTTGCCGCCGCGCGTCCCCGCGATAAACGTGATCGATGCAAATTAACGTGGACCAGCAGCACCCGGACGTCGTCCCCTGAATTTATTCCGTTGAAACGCGAGACGCTCGAGAGCTCGGTTTGACTTTCATTAGAACCGATCCGCTCGAATGATCCTTGGACCTGCGAATTCCTGTTACCCGGGACGTTCGACGAGGATCGTTATTGTCACTCGAGCACCCGTCGCGCTCGCTCCCTAAATCATTCCGCGATATCCGCGGCCCTATGACACTGCTGAATTGGGTTAGGGGATACAGTGAATTCTCCCCAATTGTCCTTCAGCTGGTAAACAAAAATGGACGATTTGGAAAGAGGAGATACGATTATTCGAGCCCTGCAGCTCGTTCTTATATAGTTGTTAACAATTCGAAACTATAAAAACGAACCGCGAGGCTCGAACAATCGTATCTCCTCTTCGCAAATTGTCCATTCTTGTGGACAGTCTGAGCGTCAATTAGAGAGACATTGCTGTACAGTGAATTCTCCCCAATTTTCATTCAGCTGGTAAACAAAAGTGGACGATTTGGAAAGAGGAGGTACGATTATTCGAGCCCTGCAGCTCGTTCTTATATAGTTGTTAACAATTCGAAACTATAAAAACGAACCGCGAGGCTCGAACAATCGTATCTCTTCTTCGCAAATTGTCCATTCTTGTGGACAGTCTGAGCGTCAATTAGAGAGACATTGCTGTACAGTGAATTCTCCCCAATTTTCATTTAGCTGGTAAACAAAAGTGGACGATTTGGAAAGAGGAGATACGGTTATTCGAGCCTTCCATCTCGTTTTTATTATTGTTGACAATCGGCAACTATACAAATGAGCCGCGAGGCTCAAAATTGTCCATTTTTGCTTAAATGCTGAAAGAAAATTAGGGAGAATTTACTCTTTTATATTTTACACATTTTTGTCATGAATGCATAAAATTCGCAGTCTACGCGCGATATATAAACGTCTTATTTTACATAAAGATCCGCAGTCTAGTCGTAAATATTTCCAACACTGTCTTCAACCCTTAAATTGATTCGCGGAATTCAAGAATCCGGGCTAACATTGCCTAACGTTCCGTTCTGTTTTTAAACAGTTTGCTAAGTAAAGTTGCTTTCTAATTTAATGAAAAGTAAAGAAATAATTAAAATAATGTACCGTTCAAAATATTTGATTTTAACACGATTAAATTTTTAATAAATATTATTGAACAACATACTTGCGTTATACGAGCCCATGACCGTCACTGGTTGGTCACTCGAGGGGTTGATACTTAATTTGGTAATTGACAATTGATAATTAATTTCGTTAATGTCGTTCAATTGTATTTCCAACCGCGTGTCCAATTCAGCGTCGACGTTTAACACGTTCCGTGCCGAGCTTTTTTTACTCGAATCTTCACACTTTGATATTTTACTAAAACTTGATGTATTACGTGCAATTATTAATTCTCGTACACATAACAACGTAACAAAAACTTATCAACGCCCATTCTTGCGGTGGAAATTGATTCTTCGGTTCTAAATTTCTTGTAAACAATTTGTTCAGTTCACTAAGTAAACNAAAGATCCGCAGTCTAGTCGTAAATATTTCCAACACTGTCTTCAACCCTTAAATTGATTCGCGGAATTCAAGAATCCGGGCTAACATTGCCTAACGTTCCGTTCTGTTTTTAAACAGTTTGCTAAGTAAAGTTGCTTTCTAATTTAATGAAAAGTAAAGAAATAATTAAAATAATGTACCGTTCAAAATATTTGATTTTAACACGATTAAATTTTTAATAAATATTATTGAACAACATACTTGCGTTATACGAGCCCATGACCGTCACTGGTTGGTCACTCGAGGGGTTGATACTTAATTTGGTAATTGACAATTGATAATTAATTTCGTTAATGTCGTTCAATTGTATTTCCAACCGCGTGTCCAATTCAGCGTCGACGTTTAACACGTTCCGTGCCGAGCTTTTTTTACTCGAATCTTCACACTTTGATATTTTACTAAAACTTGATGTATTACGTGCAATTATTAATTCTCGTACACATAACAACGTAACAAAAACTTATCAACGCCCATTCTTGCGGTGGAAATTGATTCTTCGGTTCTAAATTTCTTGTAAACAATTTGTTCAGTTCACTAAGTAAACATGCAAGCGTGTACCATCCATGGTACACGTGGCACGGAACGTGTTAATTTCGTCAACGCTCGTTCCTTCGATTCTCGTGAATATAAAACATTGTCAATCACGCTCACCGTTCAATTGCATTCGAAGAAAGCTTGACCGCGGTGTTTACGTCGCGTCCGAGTTCCAAACATTTGGAACTCGGAAGCCGTGTCTACATATCAGAGGCCACGGCCGCAAGATCGTTTATTAGCCACCCCCACTCCCCCGGTCCCAAGGTCCCGGCGACAACGCAGAATGTTATTGTGCCCAGTTTGAGGATGGTTCTGACCCGAGATAAATCTATCGACCGTTTCAGTCGAGTCCCAGAAGGACTATCACGCACGCAGGAAACACCATCATTATCCTCGGACTACGACGACGACAGTCTCGTCGACGACCAGGTCGCCGGTTAGCACGACGACTGCCACCGTGGTCGAACAAGTGGAAGATAATCAAATACCGGAAGTGACGAGGTGGCCGACCACCGAACCCACGGAAACTTGGGAAATCACGACGACTTCGACGACGACCACCACCGTCAGCACCACCACGATCAGCACCACGCCGAGCACCACTACCACCACCACCACACCGCCGCGTGAGTGACGTCTCATTTTTATTTTTTGTCGAGGAAACCTCCGTTCCTTATGTTATTTTTGAACTTCTCGATGGGGGTTACAGAAAATTCTCCCCAATTGTCCCTCGGATTATAAACAAAAAGGGCAATTTTCGAAGAGGAGATACGGTTTACGTTTTTATAATCGCCGATTATTAACAATCACGAAATCGTAGCACCTGTTCTAAAATTGTCTATTTGTGTTTACAAGTCGGAGGACAATTGCAGAGAATTTACTGTACTTTGAAATCATCGACGATCATTTCACCGATTATGTTTTCGTCGACGCGAGTTCACCGATATTGAGTTAGGTTCTGCTGACCTAACCTAACCTAACCTGAGCTGACCTAACTTAATCTAACTTAATCTAACCTAACCTAACTTGATCTAACCTAAGCTAACCTAACCTAGTTTAACTTTACCTAATTTAGCCTAACCTAACATTCAAGTCGTTATTTTGTTTGGTTCGCATGTGTTTTCAAAATAAAATCCTTTGAACTTGCAATTGACAATTATCGATCATGTTCGAGGAAGTAGGATGTACTTTATATTATTAATATTTTTTACTGTTAATGATATACGATACAATGATATATAATATACACTATGGCAAAGTCTACGTTAAGTTAGGAGGAATTACAAGGCGTCATTTTGTTGCATTCGAATCTGTTTATAAAATACAGCCCTTTAAACCATTCGCTTTTCTCAAACACAGTTTTATTTGCACTATCGCTTTACAATATTCACAGTATTATTACGAACTTTTATGTGGGAACCCAATTATCCGATTCCCTTCGTTCTTTCCGCATTTAAATCGTTTATTACGAAACAATTTCGTCCACGTTGATATTAATCTCGCAACTTCTAAAGATTATAAACGAACGCGAACTCGTGAAAAGCGTCTCGGTACACGATAAAGTATCATTTTCGACAAATTCGGCAACGATTTAACACGGCGTCGCTCCGAAATCACCGATCGCCTGTTGTCAATCACAGTCGTGTATAATTAATCCCAGCAATTTCGGATCGAAATTCTCGACAAAGCGCGGCCTGAAAAAACATTCGACCGTCGTCGCCGAAACGAAAATTATATCGGTTTCGCGCGGTCGTTACGGCGCGGCGTGGCCGTTCGCAAGATCAATTTTCCCAGGTGTTCTAGATCGCGGTGAAAATCGAAATACACGTCGTGCGGGCGGTCGTTTGACACGCCCCGCGCGCCGTAATTCGTCGGTCGCGGCGAGCATTTCCAGGCCATTCGTGGAATCGATAACGAGTGCCGAGCGGTTACGGACGCGAGAAGGTATTTCGAAAGTGGTGTGTGGCCTAGGATCGCGAGCCGCGGGTGGGCCGGAGAAGGGCGGAAGGGCGGAAGGGCGTTTTGTGGAAGAAGGTAGCTGCAAAGAAAAACAGGGGTGCGTGCGCGGTGACACGGCGTTCTTGGAACGGGAAATGCAGCCCCTTTGATCGTTCCGTCTGGGACACAAGGAATTTTCGTTTCGCCGCGGCATTTCGAACGTTACAAAGCGATAGGCGGCTGAAAGAACGTATTCAAAATGAGGAAGGATCGAGGATTCGAGGTTAGGGGATGAAAGGAAGGGGCGCTCGTGGGGAGGCGGTGGGCCGGGAAGGAGGCAGGCGAAACAGTTCCTCGTCGAAGGAACGTGCAGCACGCGTCCCTCTGAAACGTTCGTCTCTTTATAGGCTTCTGCGTGGTTCAAAGGGCGAGGCAGAGGCACCAATACATAAGGGAGGGCAAAGGCAAGAGGGTGAGTACGACAATCTGCGAGCTATTCGGCCAAGGCCGTTCGAAAACTGATTTCGACCGGTCCCGACGTCCACGGAATGCCGGAAACGGCCGTTGCCTGGCAATCCGGCAGGAATCGCGATCGATCGATCGATCGATCGAAATCTCGTCGAAACAATTTCGCGGCGGAAGAAACGTTCTCGCGGTTGCGATATTCGGTTATTAATACGCGGAATGCCCGCGCTCTCATAATTATTCGAACGATTTTACGAGAAAAAAATGCGGCGTTACAGGAGAATTACATTTATTTCGCGCAGCCACCAGCCGAATCATCGTTATACCCGCGAATCATTCGGGCTGAATTTTCACGTTTGCAACCGATTTTTATTAATACGCGGGTCGTTTTGGTAACAGGGGCGCGGCAAGAACCAGCGGCCGGACCAATTTTATTACGATTTTCGTTTTACAATCCAACACAGTCCACAAAGACTCTCAATAAAACTGGAGCTCGGCGGCTGCGATTTATTGACGTTTCGCCCGATCTCAATTAAAAACCGGTTACCCCGCAGTCGCCGCCGGTAAACTAAACAAATTATCCGAGCCCCGCGTTTCAATGATGGAAGAAAGACTTTTTAATTGGCGCTAGTACGGGGAATACTGATAAATAGGTCGAAACGTTGTTGAATCGTGAATCGCGGGACGGAATGCGTGCCCGGAGAGACAAGGGTCTCCAACGTTGAATAGCCTGTACCCCTCCATTGTCCGCGGGATCCCGATTATTTGGAATACAATTTTTCCAGCCCCCCTCCACGCCGCTCCAGCCCCCCCCCCGCGTACCCCGCCGCCGTTGCATTCATTGTCTTCCCGCTGGGGCTGCCACTGAATTATTGATACCGTCCAGAGCGCGCTGGGGGAGAACGGAAACTTTCATTCCGAATATCATAATTAACATTCGACGGTAATTAATATTCAGCGAGCGTGCAGGCTCGTTCATCTTTGAAACGGATCCGCGTGTGCGAGCCGCCGATCGTATCGCGATCTATTATCGATTATAAAAAACGACCCAGCGTGCGGCCGATCATCGTGACAAGCCCGATCGCCCGAATTAAGCTGAGATATTGAAATTAACGGCTCGTTTCTATGGGAAATTGTTTCGGTGACGGGGAACGATTAAACTTCGAGCGTTCGACAGCTCTAGGTGACGCGCTTTCCGAAAATGTTCGTCGGATTTGCCGTGGGTAATCGATATAGGCTAACTAGCTCAAAGGAAACACTTTATAGTTGACCTGTTAAACGGGGATTTAACTTTTGGCCAACTCGTTTCACAACGGGGAATTTTCTCTCTCGCTTACGGAAGTTGCGTCATCACGCTCAAAGTAATTGATAACGTCGCTTTTCGCTTGTTGATTATTTATTTGGACGAAACATTTTATTCGCGGATTTGGAAAATATATTTATGAAATATTTCCCGGTGAATAAATTGAAATGATTGTTTCGCCGTGTATTTTTTTGGAGAAATGTGGCACACGCGAAGCAACATTGCATTCCGCGCGCCAAAATCTCGATTCTGAAATCTTTCGATTCAATTAATTTCGATTTATTAACGAAATATTTCGCTGTACTCGGTTAACAGGTTGAAAAGGAACGTACGAACTTATTTGCGCGCGCAGAATCGCCGTCTTCGTGCCACGATTTAGGAGACACCCCGTACCAGGCCGGTCGAAATCTTTTTTTCAAATGTTAATTTTATCGATAGATCGCGAAGGATTAATTAAATGGTAGATCGTGGATTCTATGCGCTTATTTGGCAAAAATTATTGGACGAGAAACGAGCGATCCGCATCGGAAGAATTAATTGTTCTTCTTTCCATCTTATCGAAACTGTTAGAAGAAAAAAACTTCGCTTATTTCTTCAATTTTTTGTTTCAGTTAGAAATAACAGTTCTCTTCGCGATGCGACGATACGAAAGAAATTTTATTCAGCTCCGCAATACAGGCTTTTATAAATGTGCAATAATCCGTGTTGCACTTCGAAAATAATTATTTCTCGGCTCGAACGAAACTCTAGAACGCACTCTGTCGTTCAAAAGCTCGTCGGTCTAGAGAAATGTCAGCGAACTTCGCTTCGAGTAATCTTTCAAGAATTTTTGCCCGGATGCGTGCTATACATTTCGTGTACACGTCCGAAAGTTTCGACTATCCCAAGACGCGAGTGTGCTCGCTCGAAAGTTTCGACCGTCGGAACCGCGATGAAAATTAGCATTTGGGAAACTCTAATAAATTGAAAACAAACAAGCAAATCAGCGGAGAACTTCGCGAGGACGTGAATCACTCATCGAGACTCTTCGCCGAATACGGTTAAATTCTTGCTAACGAAGAATTAACTAAAATCGTTCGAATAAAATCTTCGCCATGGGTGAATTCGACTCTGTTTTAGCATTATTGAACCACTAATTTTCCAGAAATAATCGCTAATTCGCCGAGAATCTTAATCTACAAAAATAAAATCATTCCGAGAAAAATGACAAAAAGTGTCTCCGCGTTTTCAAAAATTATTCGAACACATTGAAATGCACCTAATACAATTTTTAAAAGTGTCATAGTAATTTGGAGAGTCTGCAGAATAATTTCATGCAAAAATCATTCGTATTTATTGCGGATAAAATGTTCCAGCCTCGAATAATTCAGACACCTAGTTTTCAAGCTAATTTAAACAGCTGTTGCGTGAAAAATGTCTCCCTACGCTTAAAAATTATTTAAACACATTTAAATGTTCCTAATGTAATATAAAAAAATACTGTCGCATTTGGGATAGTCCGCAGAACAAATCTGCGTAAAAATCGTTCGAGTGGCTTTCGCGATCGAGTCGGAAAAATTTCGGAAACTTGAAGACTACGGCGAACGCGACTGGAGCATCGCTTCGAGATTTAATTTCCGACTGACAGGTTTCTGCAGCTGGCGATTACAAGTATGGCTCCTGTGGTGAATCGCACGGTAACGGACACGCGTTTCGCGTACGGTGACAGCGGTGTCCGTCGCCTGGCGTCTGTTTTGCGAAGGCAGTTCGGAGAAGAGAGCTAACCAGCGCTGTCGTTCGTTGCCCACAGCTCTATCGCGAGGACGAGCCGGAATGTTCGGAGCTGTGCCAGTGCGGCGAGGGCGAGGTTCTCAGGTGCAACACGATCTGCGTGAACTCGTTGCCCTGCAAGACGGACTTCGCCTTCTACAATCACGAGGCACCGGCGTATCAGGCGCATCGCGGACCCTGCCTTTGCTACAGCGGTCGTTTCATATGCATGCGGCCTTCACCCGGTGAATATAAACCCTCTTGACGCGTCGCCTTTCAATGGACCACGAGATCCGACGATAAACAGTTAGCGCGACGAGAGATTCTTCCAATTTTACACCACGGAACAGTCTCGCGCGCGCCATCCCCTGCATCCTTGAAACAGCTGATTAGAAAACCTTGTTTAATGGGGGATCATTTCCCTCCCTAACGTACGAATACAGCAAATTCTCCCCAATTTTCCTGCAGCTTGTAAACAAAAATGGACAATTTGGGAAGACGAGATACGATTTTTCGAGCCTCGCGGCTCATTTTTATAGTGACCGATCGTCGACAATTATAAAAACAAAGTGCGAGGCTCGAATAATACCAAATTGCCCATTTTTGTTAGCAAGTTGAAGGATAATTAGGCATAATTTACTGTAGTGTTTTTAAGTACAGTAAATTCTCCTGCAGCTTGTAAACAAAAATGGACAATTTGGGAAGACGAGATACGATCTTTTTCGAGCCTCGCGGCTCATTTTTATAGTGACCGATTGTCGACAATTATAAAAACAAAGTGCGAGGCTCGAATAATACCAAATTGCCCATTTTTGTTAGCAAGTTGAAGGATAATTAGGCATAATTTACTGTAGTGTTTTTAAGTACAGTAAATTCTCCTGCAGCTTGTAAACAAAAATGGACAATTTGGGAAGACGAGATACGATCTTTTTCGAGCCTCGCGGCTCATTTTTATAGTGACCGATTGTCGACAATTATAAAAACAAAGTGCGAGGCTCGAATAATACCAAATTGCCCATTTTTGTTAGCAAGTTGAAGGATAATTAGGCATAATTTACTGTAGTGTTTTTAAGTACAGTAAATTCTCCTGCAGCTTGTAAACAAAAATGGACAATTTGGGAAGACGAGATACGATCTTTTTCGAGCCTCGCGGCTCATTTTTATAGTGACCGATTGTCGACAATTATAAAAACAAAGTGCGAGGCTCGAATAATACCAAATTGCCCATTTTTGTTAGCAAGTTGAAGGATAATTAGGCATAATTTACTGTAGTGTTTTTAAGTACAGTAAATTCTCCTGCAGCTTGTAAACAAAAATGGACAATTTGGGAAGACGAGATACGATCTTTTTCGAGCCTCGCGGCTCATTTTTATAGTGACCGATTGTCGACAATTATAAAAACAAAGTGCGAGGCTCGAATAATACCAAATTGCCCATTTTTGTTAGCAAGTTGAAGGATAATTAGGCATAATTTACTGTAGTGTTTTTAAGTACAGTAAATTCTCCTGCAGCTTGTAAACAAAAATGGACAATTTGGGAAGACGAGATACGATCTTTTTCGAGCCTCGCGGCTCATTTTTATAGTGACCGATTGTCGACAATTATAAAAACAAAGTGCGAGGCTCGAATAATACCAAATTGCCCATTTTTGTTAGCAAGTTGAAGGATAATTAGGCATAATTTACTGTAGTGTTTTTAAGTACAGTAAATTCTCCTGCAGCTTGTAAACAAAAATGGACAATTTGGGAAGACGAGATACGATCTTTTTCGAGCCTCGCGGCTCATTTTTATAGTGACCGATTGTCGACAATTATAAAAACAAAGTGCGAGGCTCGAATAATACCAAATTGCCCATTTTTGTTAGCAAGTTGAAGGATAATTAGGCATAATTTACTGTAGTGTTTTTAAGTACAGTAAATTCTCCTGCAGCTTGTAAACAAAAATGGACAATTTGGGAAGACGAGATACGATCTTTTTCGAGCCTCGCGGCTCATTTTTATAGTGACCGATTGTCGACAATTATAAAAACAAAGTGCGAGGCTCGAATAATACCAAATTGCCCATTTTTGTTAGCAAGTTGAAGGATAATTAGGCATAATTTACTGTAGTGTTTTTAAGTACAGTAAATTCTCCTGCAGCTTGTAAACAAAAATGGACAATTTGGGAAGACGAGATACGATCTTTTTCGAGCCTCGCGGCTCATTTTTATAGTGACCGATTGTCGACAATTATAAAAACAAAGTGCGAGGCTCGAATAATACCAAATTGCCCATTTTTGTTAGCAAGTTGAAGGATAATTAGGCATAATTTACTGTAGTGTTTTTAAGTACAGTAAATTCTCCTGCAGCTTGTAAACAAAAATGGACAATTTGGGAAGACGAGATACGATCTTTTTCGAGCCTCGCGGCTCATTTTTATAGTGACCGATTGTCGACAATTATAAAAACAAAGTGCGAGGCTCGAATAATCCCAAATTGCCCATTTTGTTAGCAAGTTGAAGGATAATTAGGCATAATTTACTGTAGTGTTTTTAAGTACAGTAAATTCTCCTGCAGCTTGTAAACAAAAATGGACAATTTGGGAAGACGAGATACGATCTTTTTCGAGCCTCGCGGCTCATTTTTATAGTGACCGATCGTCGACAATTATAAAAACAAAGTGCGAGGCTCGAATAATCCCAAATTGCCCATTTTGTTAGCAAGTTGAAGGATAATTAGAGATAATTTACTGTAGTGTTTTTAAGTACAGTAAATTTTCCTGCAGCTTGTAAACAACAATGGACAATTTGGGAAGACGAGATACGATCTTTTTCGAGCCTCGCGGCTCATTTTTATAGTGACCGATTGTCGACAATTATAAAAACAAAGTGCGAGGCTCGAATAATACCAAATTGCCCATTTTTGTTAGCAAGTTGAAGGATAATTAGGCATAATTTACTGTAGTGTTTTTAAGTACAGTAAATTCTCCTGCAGCTTGTAAACAAAAATGGACAATTTGGGAAGACGAGATACGATCTTTTTCGAGCCTCGCGGCTCATTTTTATAGTGACCGATCGTCGACAATTATAAAAACAAAGTGCGAGGCTCGAATAATCCCAAATTGCCCATTTTGTTAGCAAGTTGAAGGATAATTAGGCATAATTTACTGTAGTGTTTTTAAGTACAGTAAATTCTCCTGAAGTTTCCTACAGCTTGTAAACAAAAATGGACAATTTAGGAAGAGGAGATACGATTATTCGAGCCTCGCACTTTGTTTTTATAATTGTCGACGATCGGTCACTATAAAAACTGTCTCTTATACACATCTAGATGTGTATAAGAGACAGTAATTAGGCATAATTTACTGTAGTGTTTTTAAGTACAGTAAATTCTCCTGAAGTTTCCTACAGCTTGTAAACAAAAATGGACAATTTAGGAAGAGGAGATACGATTATTCGAGCCTCGCCACTCATTTCTGTAATTTCCGATTGTCAACAATTATAAAAATGAAGTGCAAGGATGAAATAATCATATCTCCTCTTTCCAAATTGTCTATTTTTGTTTACAAGCTGAGGGATAATTAGGGAAGGTTTATTATATGTTCTACGACTCCATTAGTACCATTTTAGGGGACCTTTTGTGAACAAGAAATGATTTTATTCCTGCTGTAAATTATTTTTGTTTCGTGTATCAGGCTTTTATTTCCTAAGATATTTAATATAAATATAAGATTAATTGTTGATATCTCAAATTATTCGCTTTACAGACGCAATAGTGTCGATGTTAGATTGAGCTATATCAATTAGTTTTCTATTCGCTCCACAGTGGTGTTAACTATTTTATTTGACCCGGAACTATACTTGTTTCATATACGTTGAACTTAAGAACATTGTCAAAGAAAAAAAGTTCCATAAAACGTAAAGTTATGTATTAATTGGAACGACGAGTAATTTCCAGGCGCAAGAAGACCAGCCGAAAATTTTCTATCGCGAGTTTTCTCTGCAGAAGTGTTCTTCATTCCGGATAAGTCGTTTCGGGCACACCTAAAAGTAATTTCTCGTCGGAATAAAGCCGCTTCCAGGGTAAATTATGACCCGATAAAGGGGGGAGAAAAGTTTCGTAACCTCAATCAAGAAAATTACCTGTATCTTTCTCGGGCGGGTTTGATGAAAATTTGATACGATAGATCAAAGATGATCCCCGTTTACGGTCCCTCGGACGCCGAACCCGAGGATTTATAATTTCGTTTACGAAGGAGCCGTCGCTGATCGAGGCATCGCCGTAATCTCTGTCGACTTGTCCCCGCAGATGCTTACTCTATACCGCACGGGGTTTTCATGTTCCTGGGATACAGCGAAAAGGACGAGAGCTTGTTGCGACAGCATAACAATGTCACTGTCCTGGACGCGGTCTCGTCCCTCGATAGCTTTATGAGAGAAGAAGTTAATAATCAGGTGAGTCACCCTAATGTTACTTATTGCAGCCAGAAATTACTATATTTTGAAAGATGGAATTCTTATTTCTAAAGCAGTCGATTCTTGTTTTTGCAAATCAATTGGATTTACTGTACAAATTTACAGTAAATTCGCTCTAATTTGCCTTCAGTTTGTAAACAAAGAATGGACAATTTGGAGAAAGTAGATACGATTATTCGAGTCTTGCACCTCGCTTTTATAATTATATAATAATCGTATCTCCTCTTCCCAAATTATTCATTCTTGTCTGCAAGTTAAAAAAAAATTAAGGAAAATTTTCTGTATATTTGTTCTTCAAGATAAAAGATTCCAATTGATTTATAAAAATAAGAATTGACTGCTTCACAGTCTCATTTTTTAAAATATAGTCATTTCTTTGGGAAGAATTTACTATAGTTACAGTTCTGTTAAAACATAGCTCCTCGGTTCAAGGATCAGACTCTCGTGTTTAAAAGTTTTTTATTCTTTCTTTCGTTTCTCTATTATTAAGTAAAATAATATAATATAATATATTAAGTATAATTAAATTCTTAAAATATATTATATTATATTATATATTAAATAAAATTAGCAAAACCAAAAACTCGCCCGCGGTTAGAGGAGATATTTAAAAAATTATTCGAATGGATTCTAAGTCAACGTATTGCTACCATAGAAATAAGTAGAATTCGTATCTTTATGCAAAATAAAATTTTCAATCATTTTAATCGAAAATAAACGCACCAGTTTTTCCAAGTTAGTCTGTCAGTTTATGTTGGAGCATCGGTACGACGGTAATCAATTTGAAACCATTCATGGGTCGTGACGTCCCAGCAGTAGTAAAATGGGTAACTGGTAGCGAAACGAGCTGGGTATGGACGATAATGAGAATACACAGGTTGTCAGCGGTTCCTGGGGCCGTAGCCATTGATCAGAATGGCCGTGCGATGATGTTCCCTCGAGTTTTGGGCTTACACGTGTCTTGTACAAAAACCAACAGACTCCATTTTGTCGCAAACTATCCGTAATAATTTCTCGAAATTTCTAATCCGATTTCTCGTCGATTTGTGTTCTGGAAACGTGAACGACATTCGTATTTACTATCTTCTCACACGAGTTTTACTCTCGAAATTAATTCATTTCCAGATTGTTATTTATGCAAATGTTATATACGCAGATCGTATTCACCTTTTTGCAAGTCAAATGAAACCTTTTGCAGATTTTATCCATCCTTTTGCAAATCAAACTTGACAGATCGTCAAATTGATCGTCCTCGTTCGATCTTTAAATAAACTTATGCACTTGTTTACGAGGTAATAAAAAAACATCGTTACAAATCTTCAATAATTGCTTATAAATCGTCGTTCAATTTTTCACACGCAATATCCATTCTGTTGCAAATAATTACGAATAATTACAAATCGGTGAATCTTGACTGGAAAAAGGTGAACATATGATCTGCCCAAGGATTTTGATTCGGACTGCGAAAAGGTTACTCTGATCTTCAAAATAGTTCATCCGGATTGCAAAGGCTACGGTGCAAATGGTTAAACCTTAGTCAATAAAACCAGTTTTTAGAAACCGACGAGCCCCACTCGAGACACGCCATAAATCGGCGTATAAGTGCGGGAACGAGGCGCGCAAGGAGGGCGAGAGGGGGTGGAAGTTAATAATGCCAGGGATATGGTGTTGGATGACGCCGAGACATGCACCGTTCCCGTTCTCTGTTTTTTCTTTTGCAGACGGTGTGCACTCTCTTCCTGTACAACGCGACCCGAGAAAACGTGATTGCAGTGGCGCGTCTCGGGACTGACAATCCGCCCCTAAATAGCAGCCAGGCTCAAAGTCTCCAGCACCTTCTGCGCGTCAAGGTGAGCAAATTGCAAATAGCTACTACCCCCGGGCTCGAGTCCCTGAATCCGCATCAATTCTGATCTTATTTTCCGGGCAACTGGTCCTACGGCCCTGTAACTTTATTGGCCGAGGCCCCGCGCACTTATTTAGACACTCGTCGCCCGCTTCGTACATAACCAGTTATTAAGTTAGCCGGATTCCAGAGTCCTGCACCGTAGAGAAAAATATCGAGTCGCTACCACCGCTCGCCTAAACGAGGCGAATCATCCGAACGTCTCGTCCGAGTGTCGAAGCATTGCAGATCCCAATAAATAATTGTTAAAGTATAGCGGACTTCACTGGAAAATTACATCGGATGCACAAATTGCTATATTCATTCTTGCAGGATGAGCGTTACGTTTAAGACCTGAGAAACATTTTATCTTGAAGTATTTCTGGAAGAATTTTAAAAACCTTTAGGAACTTTAATCGTAATTTTTATAAGTTACCGAGATCTGTGAAAGGCATTTTTTAAATTTCCGTCATAGGTACAGATAAAAATTATTAGATTGTAAAACGAGAGCTTTTTATCTTTTTTTGTCATTCCAAGCAATAGCAAAATTTGAAAACTGCATTTTGGTCATCGTCTGGTAAACTAGCCCCGCTATCATCTAAAAAAAACATTTAAGTCACTTGGTCTAGTTTTAAAAAATTTATCGCGTTTTAAAAGGTGTACGAACACTTTTGTGTGTACGAACATCCTCTTCCCAAATTGTTCATTGTTGTTTACAAGCTGAAGGACAATTGGAAGAATTCGCTGTATCTTGAAAAATATGGTACAAAATAAAATAAAATAAAATAAAATAAAATTGTAAATGATCCTGAGCATATTCAGCTATATTTTTATCAGAGAGATCCATCGTTCGAGTGTTAATTATTAAGATACCTAAAAGGCAAGTAGACCTATAGTATTTATATTTCCAACGATGTTTCAAATATAACAGAATTTAATAACGGTAAAATGATTTTAAAAAATGACATAGTTTACTTTCAATGGCACGGTCTTTGTCCAAGCGTGAAGAGTTGTTAATTCTCGAAAGCTCGGACATTTTCAGTACAACGACCGGGTATTAATTTTTGGAAATTTCCGAGGACCCGGTTCAAGATCAGAATCCCGACGCCGAAAAAGTCGCGGAGTTATTCTCGCGTGCGCGCAGTCGATTCCGTTCGCGACGAAAAGGGCTGCGTGTTAATGCGGCAATGTGCGTGCCACGCGCAGGAAGTGCGTGCAGAATATCCGGCGGCGCGATATCAAACTTTCCAGAACTTTTCATTTCTCTCTCGAGGGGCGAACGAGTCAGACGCGATCTCCCCCTGCCCTTCCCCTCCGCCACCGCCGGACGGCCGCGGATTATCGCGATTAATTAACCCGTACGCCATGCTTAATTTCCCCCCGAATTTAGGAACGTTCTATCCTATCCGGGGCCGAACCCCTCCTCCCTATCAGATTTCGCGACTCGTTGATCCCCGAGCGTGGAAAAATCGCTAACGGAGGAACACGGAATTCCGTTTTACTTCGAACCGTGATTACCGCGTTTCGCTCGCGTCCCCTTCTGTGATTTATGAAACCCGAGTGCTAGAACGCCGCTGGTAAACTTGCCTCGATCTTGCCAGCCACTTACCGAGTCCCCTTTATGACTGCTTTTCATGCGAAACTTAATGTCGATTAATATTTTCGGATGCGAGCCGTCGCCCACGCAGCGGTGTCACTGACCTTTTCGAACGTTCTCGACCGCATAATACCTGGATTCTGATAGGAAATCGTTTTTCGCCGGTTGAGAAAGGCTCCTGTATCGATCGTGCAATTATCTTTTGATAAGAAAATATCTCGAGCGCGATGGATAACTGTTCGGCCAGATATTTATGCACATTTTCTGACGTAATAAATATAATATAATGCAGCTTGATACGAATATGTACACGTTGAGTGATCGAAATTGTTCACCTTAATTTCTCTCGTGAGCCCTAAACGCCATATTTTATATATATTTATTTATATTTAATATACATTATTTGAATATAATATGTATTACAATATAATAAATATCGTAATATGATATATATATTATAATATAATATTATTTATTTAATATATATTACAATATAATATTATTTATATAATATATTATAATATATAATATTATATATATATATATATATATATATATATATATAATATATATGTATAATAATATATAATATATATTAACAATGCCAAGATTGGATTTATATAAGCTTCGCATAGTTTATACCATAATGTATACTTCAATAAAGAGGCGTACCTAAAAATTTCTCCTAAAAGTATTTTTATAACATCAAGAACTATAAAATAAAAAATCATAAATCGGTCATTTCGACTGCTTTGGTAGTTCTAATGTCCAATAGCGTTTCGAACGAAAGTTGTTTGGTACAAAGAGGAACATACGCGAAAACAGTTTCCTGCTATTTTCCTATGGCTATTTCTTGCTATTTCTTCGGCTATTTTCCTCTCCGCTATTTTCCGTTTCGAAAACTTCCGAAACTCGTTCCCAATCTCTCTATCGCGAACAAACACACGCCTATACGTTTCATTATGTAGCAGATAACGTGCATTCGCGTCTCGTATTATCGACTATTATTTTTGCGATCCGCTAAATAATACAGAACATGGCGCGCATGAATGGGCACGTGCATAATGAATGAAGAAACGCGAACCGTCGGCGGCATGCTGAACCCGATGAATGAAAAGCCACGTGAAATTAACAGGGGAGCCGAACCTGTTAATCCGAGGCATTGAAATAAAAATGG